GAGGTTTCCATTGGAAGCTTCATAAATAAAAAAATCTAAATGAAATAAAATTATGAACTGGAGCCATAACTGTTCATGAGAAGGCCACTTACAATGCAGAATTTAGAGAGAATTAGATCACAGGCATCTCTCTGTCAGGAATTAGCTACTCCAGTATTTCAGGACAAACCACAGAACATTAGCTGTAGTTATGTCTGGGTGGTAGCTTTTGTAATCATGAATTTCTCCCTCTTTTTATAATTGTACCTTCTAATTTTTAAAAGAACAAAGAACGTAGGCTCGTATGAAATATACACTTATTGGAAAAGCTGGAGAGAGGGAATAAGGTATGCTTTAGCTCACACTCTGACCCTTGGTTCTGCAAGACAATGACATTAAGAAAGCTGGACAAAGGGTACAGAAGTGTGTTCTATATTTGTAATTTGTAAACCTAAAATGACTTCAAAATAAAAATGCTTGGAAAAAAAATAGGAGACCATGTTTGTAGTCACAGACTGCTGTTCATGTATTGCTCTCTGAGCCAGGGGTGCGCTGGAGTGTAGTGACGAGTGATGCCCCAGAGCTTCAGGGATTTGCAGGTCAGCTGTTTAAGCTATTATTAAGAATTAGATTTTGCCAATTTATAATTCAGTGATTGGATTAAGAACAAAGGTGATAATGACTTTAAACGAATCACTTCCTAATTAGTTCCTCCAGGCGATTTCTGGACCGTCATGTGCTGTCGGGTGCAATCCTGAGCCACTGCCCCTATCCACAGGAGCTTCCTGTATGCCTCTGGCCACAGCACTGCCACCAGCTCTTCCATACACAGCCTAGTTTCTTGGTTTTTTTTTTTTTTTTTTTTGACAGGCAGAGTGGACAGTGAGAGAGAGAGAGAGAGACAGAGAGAAAGGTCTTCCTTTGCCGCTGGTTCACCCTCCAATGGCCGCTGCGGCTGGCGCGCTGCGGCCGGCGCACCACACTGATCCGAAGCCAGGAGCCAGGTACTTCTCCTGGTCTCCCATGGGGTGCGGGGCCAAGCACCTGGGCCATCCTCCACTGCCTTCCCGGGCCACAGCAGAGAGCTGGCCTGGAAGAGGGGCAACCGGGACAGAATCTGGTGCCCCGACCGGGACTAGAACCCAGTGTGCCGGCGCCGCAAGGCGGAGGATTAGCCTAGTGAGCCGCGGCGCCAGCCTCTTGTGTTTCTATTCAATGACATCTCATTTAATAGACGTTCTTTATACAGTGTATATTTAACATTTAATATGTTTAATTTATATAGTTAATATATAATACATATTGTCAATTCATTATCATTAAACTTACAGTCAACAGTCCTCTGAATTATGTTTGGATAAAGTTTACCTAACAGCCTGCTCAGGCTTAGGAATACCAGACGGCATTGCGACACCATGCTTGCAGACCGCTTGGACAGCACCATGGCCAACAGGAAGCACAGAGATGCAGACAGAGTGCAACAGGGACACACGTTTACAGGAGAGCTGAAACCAGAGGGCAGAGGCTCTCCTGGCTTGACTTCATGTGGGAACATGTATGTTGGGAAATTCAAATATTTTTTTTAAAAGATATATTTTATTTATTTAAAAGACAGAGTTACACAAAGGAGGGGGGTGGAGAGAGTCTTCCATCAGCTCACTCATTCCCCACATGGCTACAATAGCCAGGGTGCTGGTGCCAGGCCAGGATGAAGCCAGGAGCCTGGAATTTCAGCTGCATCTCCCATGTAGGTGGCAGGGGCCCTGGTACTTGGCCATCTTCCACTGCTTTCCCAGGCACCTTAGCAGGGAGCTGGATTGGAAGTGCAGCAGCTGGAACCCAAACTGGTGCTCATATGGGATGCTGGCACTGCAGGCAGCGGCTTAACCCGCTATACCACATAACCCGCTGTACCACATAACCTGCTATACCACAATGCTGCTCCTCAAATGTTTCCATGTTTCCTTCCTGTCAAGATTTAGTTATTTATTTGAAAGCCAGAGTTAGGAAGGGAGGGAGGGAGGGAGGGAGAGAGGCAGAGAATCTTCCAACTCCTGGTTTACTCCCTAAGTGGCCACAACAGCCAGGGTGGAGCCAGGCCAAAGCCAGGAACTTCATCAGGGTCCCCCATGAGTGCAGAAGCCCAAGCACTTGGGCCATTCTCTGCTGCTTTCCCAGGCGCATTAGTAGGGACCTGGACTGCAAGTGGAGCAGCCAGGACACGAACTGGTGCCAATGTGGGATGCTGACCTCCCAGGTGGTGGCATTACCTGCTACGCCGCAGCACCGGCCCCAAATGTTTTATTATTTGGTGCATCTCCACAAATGGCTGCAAGACACAGTGAGTAGTGACCTTGAGGTTGCAAATAAATTTTAGCAAGTAGGTGTATTTGTTATGGAGCCTACAAATCACTAGGGCCGACTGTACATTCTAGGATTCTTTGTGCTCTGAGGTTATTTACCTCTGTGGTTTCTACTGGGGAAAAGGATCTGTGTGCCACTGTGCATCTCTGCCTGGCTTCCCTGTGCAGCGATCTCTCCCGAGCTGCTCGGTATCGGCCACAACGCGAACATCTGGACCGTGAGAAGAGCAAAGTGCCAAAAGTCAGGCCTTCATGTGATCTTTTAGATTTAAGCAAGTGATGAAGAAAACAATCATGCATACTGAGTTTAAAGCAATATGACGCCTGGAGTGGTTACTTTGCAATAACACAAAAAACTGGGGAAGTTTTCTTCCCGCATTCAAACATGGCAGTGTGATTGAGCCAAGTGACTCCCTGACTGATCAGAGTTATGTTCTGACAGATACCTTCATTGTTCCAACTTCATCTTAATCATTACTGCAATAGAATACCAATATTCACACCAGAATCTCCCCCTTTTGTTCATCTCAACTTGACTCTGAAGAGAATCAACAAAGCTGTTCTTGGGGCCGGCGCTGTGGCGCAGTGGGTTAATGCCCTGGCCTGAAGTGTCAGCATCCCATATGGGCACCGGTTCAAATCCCAGCTGCTTCTCTTCCGATGCAGCTCTCTGCTATGGCGTGGGAGGGCAGTGGAGGATGGCCCGAGTGCTTGGGTCCCTGCACACATGCGGGAGACCCGGAGGAGGCTCCTGACTTTGGATTGGCGCAGCTTCGGCTATTGCAGCCATCTGGGGAGGAACCAGCAGATGGAAGACCTCTCTGTCTCTACCTCTCTCTGTGGCTCTTTCAAATAAATAAAATAAACCTAAAAAAACACAAAGTTGTCTGTAAGAATCAATCATTAGAGGGAATTGACAATAGAGTATTCTGTATTTTATTATTATTTCTATGTTGTGTTCTATGCATTCTTTATTAGGAACATTTGCAAGTTAAATGCATTCATTTCCAGTGAGCTGGTTATCAAAATAGCACACAACTACCTCTAGCTGAGTGACCTCAATTACTTAACCACCAAGCCCCAATTTAGTTGGGCATAAAACAAAGAACACATCTTCCTCATGAGATTTTGAGAACTGAATGCATTATTGTTCCCAATACATTGTTTGCTGGTAGGGACTCCTGGGCTTGGGCCCCTCTTTCCACCCATTTTCTTAGGACAGAACCAGGGGCTGATTCACCCCCAGCACAGCTGGGTTCCCACCCTGCCAGACAGGCCCCTGAGAGCTATCTGTCAGGATCCAAGTGGCTCTTTCCAGGCAGGTGAAAACTGACCGCTAGGTGGCATGAGCAAGAAGCCTTTGATGGCCCGGTCCTCCAGATGATAGAATTGATTTGAAATACTGCACCATACTTAACCCTTGAAACCTTCATCAAGCTAGAGAGAAGAGAAATGGGATGTTTCACGTCTGCAGCCACAGTGCTCTGTCCAGAGTTCCCGTCTGATGATCGGCGTCGGCAGCCTGAGAAACACGTTCATCCCCACAGGCCACCTCAGACAACTCAAAGAGGGGGAATGTTTTCATCTTTGGCAACAGCACCTGCCCTGTCTTCCCCAGGCCTGCGGTGTGGTGTGACCGCTGTTGGCTGCTCAGTACTTCTTATAAAGTATCTGGCTGACCCATGTATGTGTCACCTAACAGAGTCGGAAGAGAGACCCCCTCCTGACCCCCAGTCTTCATGCTGGATCCCGTGGCACTGGTGCCAACAGTTCAGTCTTCCCTGCTTTTCAGAGGTAACACACGTTCACTGAGGCTCTTCTGCAAAGTGGTAAAGCCGTGATCCCCCGGGCAGTAACTTAGGCAGAGCTGCAGAGGGCTGTGGGCACAGTACAGCAGGTGGTCTCCCAGCATCCCCCTACTCCCAGCCCCAATTCCATCACCAATGTCCAGCCAGTTATTCTTGAAGAGGCAGCTAAGTATCTCTGTTGAGGGAAGCTGACAAATAAATGCCTTTTCCCTGGGGCCTTGGCCAAGTTGGCCAGGTTTCACCTGTGCCACAGGTGAGACTGTTCATTCTTCCAATGAAAGGCCCCACGTGTTAGACAAACGGGCTCCCCAGCACCGAGTCTCATTCTCAGGGACTCCTGAAATCATTTCCCCGCTTAAAAGCCAAACACTAGACATCACCACCAGAGAATTAAAATAAGAAAAGTCAGCCTGATTAGTTTTCTGCCTGCACAGAATTCAGAAATGAAGATTTCATAAGGAAGCCGTCGACTGTAAACATGACCGGCTTAATTTAACTCAGCCAACCTGTTCTGCATTCAGGAATCTGTGTTAATGGCTTAGATGAGCATACTCGTGTCATGCACCTGCGACGATGCTGGTCATTTTAACACGATCCTCTTGAAGCTGCTCCAGCTTCTTGTCAAGTGGGGACATCTCGCCTCACCTGAAACAGAACGAAACGTCACCTTGCGTCCTGGGGGAAAGCCAAGGCCAAGTGTATGTGAGGGCCTCGCACCACAGAGGGAACCCCTAGGAAGCCTGTGAGGTGGTCTCCACACACGCAGCAGGCACATTTCACACGGCCAGGGATCGGGTACCAAGTCTTGGCGATAATGACTCAGAATGAATTAAAATGACCACAAAAACACTGTTTTTTTTTTCTCTGTCTCCAGAGTTTATTGTGAATTTTCATTTTTGGATAACCAAGCAGCTCTTTAAGGAGAATGCACAGAGGAGTCATTCTGGCACTTCTGGGTAGTACAGAAGGATCTTTCTAACACTCACATTCAGTCCACTTGCTCAGTCTTTGCTCTCGGGATTGCTGAGCAAGGTCAGCCCATGGGATTCCGGAGTTAATACGTAACCGTATATACAAACAGCCACTAAGACCCTCACGGCGGCAGGTGGCCCGAGGGACGGCGGCGGGGAGGGCGGCTCTACCTGGCCTCTCGCCTGTCTCGGCTGACAGAGCCCACGTGCCGCGTGGCGACTGGCGAGCACACCTCCTGCAAGCGGGAATGCTGAGCACAAACGGCACTTGGCAGCATGCAGTTTAAAGGACAGGGGTTCCTTCCGTAACTGTATAAAATCTAGGCAGTTCAATCAAGAGGGTAGAGAAAAACAAAGAAAAGTGAGGGACTGTCTGTCGTCACTGTAAAAAAGGCACTTGGAGTTAATGGGACCAGGACTGAAGGACTCTTAGCGGACAGAAAGTTCAGTACGGTTTCATGACAAAGCCTGGGTGTTCAGAGACGACACTCAGGAGCTCCCGAGGAGAGACACTGCAACAGAACCGCTGAGCAGCAGAACGGGTTCAAATGAAGGAAGTAAATCTGCACAACCAAACGGTCTCACAAAAATCAACGCAAACCCCCAAACGAAACCTAAGCAAAGCAAAACCTAAGCAAAGTTAGACAACGAAGCAGCGATGCATAGCTTTCCTTTGAGATAATGCCTACGCCTCGAGACACTAAGTGGCAACCTAACATCTCAGTAAATAGCTTCACAGTAGCATCACGGTGATAAAACTGATTCAAGCAATGCAAAGAGTTTCATCTGTTCCCAGAACCCGAGGGAGAAATGAGGTGATCGGTAGAGCGCAGCGACATCACGTGTGGTTTTTCAGCGTCCCTGGGCGGTGGACACGTCCCGTCCGTCCACCACATGCACACGGGCTTCCAGCCGCCTGCCGGGAGGTGTGGCACCCATCGAGGTCATCCGGTGTTCTGAGCGGTAACTGTAATTCCTGTTGCACGTGGGCACCGCAAACAGAAATGCGGCGAGCGGTGAGCCTCCACTTCCCGCAGCTGCTGCGGGTCCACCTCCTCCCACACACAGGTAGGCGCTTCCACAAGAAAGGATATTTGGCAATTTTAAATTCCACGGTTGGCAGCTCTGAGGCAGCTCACTTTATGTTAAATGCCATCAGGGGTCTCTCCTCCCGTTTCTGCCAGGGGCTTTTCTTGTCTTCTCCTTGGTCGTCGTCCTCGTCTTCATCGTCATCGTCGTCGTGAGCGGACCTTCTAGGGTGGGGGCTGGCCAGCGGCTCGGACGGACCGTCGGCAGTTCGTTTGGTGGTCTCCTCCTGCAGGCTGGGCAGCTGGCCCCCGCTGCGCCGGCTGGGCCCCTCCAGCAAGCACCGCAGCGCGCTGTCCTCGGGGGTGCACACCGTGGTCCCACCCTCGCTGCCGCTCTGCTCCATGTCGTCCAAGTACACGAGCTGCGTGTAGGCGCTGCTGTCTTGGGCGCGGGGCTCTTTCTGCGGATGCTCCTGCACGGGCGGGTGGTTCTGCGGAAGAGACAAAGGGTCTCCCCTTCCCTTCCGGGCCGATTTTGGTTCGTTCATGTCCACGCCAGAGTCTAAGCTGGCGTCGTTACTTCCGTTCCTTCCAGCTCTTTGGAGATCAATGTAAGAATGTCTAACGTGAGCGTTGGACCTGCCGTCCAGGGAGACGAACCACGCCCGGGGGTGTGGGAGCGGCTTCCCGCCGCCCAGCTCCATCAGCGCCTTCTCGGTCAGGAGCTGCACCTCGCTGTTCATCTGCGCCAAAGCCGCGTCGTTCAGGGATGCCGGGATGGACAGTGACTCGGACATGGCCGCGTTCTGAGGGCTCCATTCCCGGGTTCCTGCCTCCTGCAGGTGCTGCTGTGAGATGGCCTGGGAAGACAAGGGCTGGCCCTGCATCTGAGAGGCCGCGTGCGGGAAGATGCCCGCGTGCGGGTTGGAGAGCTCAGCCTGCAGCCGTTCGATTTCCAGCTGCGGGTCGGCTGGCACCACCAGAGGCTGGCTGACGTAGGGATGGTCCCCGGGCAGCTTCATGTAATGTGCAGGGATGACCAAGGCGGGCAGCACTTTCCTGTACACGCTGTCATTGACCTGGTCCACGGAACTACAGCAGATCAGCTGGCCCGGCCGCGGGAAAGACGTGGGTCTCTCCAGGTGATCCACCGATCGCGACATCATACATTCAGTGGGTCTGCGATCCAGCAGCTGCTCTTTCTCAGGAGACGAGGGCGGGGGGTACATGTGCTCCTGAATGGCCAGCTTGCTTCCTGTGGACGCTGCACCCTCTCGGTCCTGCTTCTCAAATAAAGGCTGGGAGAGCATGGCCTTGTAGCTACCCCGGTAGTCCTCGTGGCCAGGGGACTCGTAGCCATCCCTCTCCGCGGGTTTCCTGGCCTTTAAGGGGAAGATCTCCGCAGACTTCTGATGGTCTTTCCCCAGGGTCCCGCTGGGCGTCAGGTTATCCAAGGAGATCTGGCTTTTCTCCTCCTCCTTGTGAGAGAGCAGCTCCTCCCGGGAGCTGAACTCCTGCGAGGTGCTGTAGGAGAGCTTCAGCATGGGCGTGTGCAGGTCCCCCTCGCCGCCGGGAGACACCATGTCCAGGGGGACCCCACTCCTCCGCTCCTGCACACCCGGGGCCTCGGGGCGGCCGTGGCTGGCCACAGACAGCGGCCCGGGGAAGTCAGACGCCCGCCGAGAGAACAGCAAGTTGATGTGTGACATGGACGTGGCCTGGTCCCTTTTGGAACTCTCCAGGGCCGCTGGCAGCTGCAGTTTTCTGTGGTGCTGACGAGGCTTCAGGCACTTCCTCCTGTGACCAAAGACACAGAGCAAGCGCAGAGATTACAGAGGTGCTCACGATGGGAAGGCTTCCAGTGAGAACAACACAACTAGTCAGCGGCCGGAAGCCTCCTCACCCCACTCCCTTGTCTTAACCCAGAGCAGCGTCATCCAGGGACTTCACTCTCAGGCTTTCGTCTGCACAGCCAAGTTATTCATTCAGAAGGAGTCACCCGAGAGTTGACAACCAACGTTCTGGCAAACCGAACAGGCTCGGCATCCGAACGAGAATATCTCCGCCTTGCCCTGCAGAGTATCGTCTCTTAGCCAGTGTTCAGGAATATTCCAAATGCCTCATATGGAGACGGTCAACTCTTTTTTTCCTAACTCCCCTTCTAAGCAACGTTGTCTACGGCATGCCTTACATGTCCTGTTTGCTCATTTTCAACTTAGATCACAAATTTGAGGTCATGATATAATTTCACAAGCAGAAAAATAGCTCAATTTAGAAAAAGAAAAGGAGAAAAAAAGACCTCCATATCAATGCTTCCAAACATCAATTGCAGAAGAAATTCTAAATTAAAAAGAGATATTGCCAAAAAGGTAGCACTTTACCTGCAATAATATAAAAGGAGACACAGCAAAACCAAAAGTATGAAAGCCATTCCTCCTAAAATGGCCAAAAGAAACACCGTGTGATACGTGGTTATGTCCTGTGTTACAACGGGACCTAGAAGGTCAGAAAATGGCATTTTAGATGTTTGAATACCTTTAAATAAAAAGAGGGATAATTAATTGAGAACGTCATGTCTTTTTCTTACTCTTCCTGGCTGAGGCACAGGCAGTGGCCTGATGAAAACACCCTTAGAAAGATGTGCTTCCTGCTCTACCATTTCACTCATGATCAACACAACTACCAGGAGGCCTCCACAAAGGCCAGGAGCACCCGGCGGTGTCAGGAGGACCTCCTGGGCTGAGAGGGGGGCCTCACCAGTAGCATGGTCAGGGTTCCAGATGCGTGACTTCTTAATAAAAGAAAAGGAATGCATGATAATATAACAAGTGGACTCCTATGCTCAGAGACATGGCCTGTCTATCTGAGAATTTTACACTGCAATGAAAAAAAAAAACCCCACCATTTTTGCCTTTGTTGCGCAGTCAATCATGATTGAAAGCTCTCTGCCTAAATCAATCAATCTAAATGTACAGCCTACATTCACCATTTTAAAGAGCCAACAACTTGTTACAGGGTGTCAAGCCTCACTAAATGCTTTCCATTTCCACTAAAATGTTCTAGAATGGCCAACCTCAGGTAGCCTTGACCTTTTCAGAACTTAAAGTAAAGTTACTAGAGATTAAAACATTTTCCTTTTAATTTACATTACAAAGCACCCCCAGAAGTATGAGTTTACCTCATACTCTTCAGGTTCAGTAAGAGTACAAATCTCCCTTAATGTTATTGACAACAGATCAGCAATAGCTAAAACCTTCCTAAAATTACAACATTTCGGCACCTGTTGCTGGCCAGGTGGCCTAGCAGCGCCCCTGAGTGTGGGAAGGAATGAGCTATGGTTTCACATTATTGCCGAGTAGCAGAATGCCGATCAACGAACACCATTGGTTTATTTTTTTATTCTTGATAGTTTGAGAGAGATTTCTTTTAAAAACCATTTAAAAGAGATACATCCCTTAATTTAAGAGCTAGATAAACCCAAGGGAATTTACCAGTGTTCTTTTTAAATAGTGGCATCACCTAAGTCCAAAAAGTAGCACCCTTCCCTCCCAGATATAATTACCTTCAATGGTGTGAGGATGGGGTTAATACTTACAAAAACTCAAAACTAACTGATGACTGTCTCTGTATCACCTTAGTTCTTCAGAGAAACAAGACAAAGGCAAGGCCTTGTCAGGAGTCACCAAGAAACCAGGGGTTAAAAAAAAAAGCTTTTCCAAAAAACTGAAGTTTGGTCCTTTAAGAACTCAAAATGTTATTATTTTAACCTCTGCCAATAGAACTCTGCATAAAAGTCGCAGCCATACTTCACTTTACTTAAAACAAAAGAATTAAAGAACAAAATCCTGATTGTTTTCCTGTTGCTTTTGGGTTCATGAAAGCACAGCATCACTGTGATTTGTCTTAGCAAAGTAATGGCTGTGAGGTGGCCAACATGTGCGCTGAGCCTGCTGTTGACAGCTTTGAGTTTCTCCTTCCAGGAAGCTCCCAGGAGACCTGCGGCTGGCAGCTCCTCCCTCCCTCTTTACCGGAGCTTGTATTAATCCGTCACACAATGGGGAAATGGACGGGCACAGTTGTTTGAAATGTATCAAAAATAAAAGTTCACTGTTGGGCATGCGCTTTGCGGCCTCTAATCTGGTCCTTGTAGAATTTCCCTTCCTTCCCTCCCTCCCTCCTCTTAGTCACAGATATTTCAGATGCTGAGAATGGAGCATTTCTGTACCTGGCTCATGCTTATAACAGTGCCAGAACAATACTGTCAGGGGATATACATACTCTTAAAACACAGATGTGAAGTGTAACTTTTCTCAGTGTGAGAATCTAAAGTCAACGTGACAGATTTTTCCATACCCTTCCAGGAATGGCTTCCATCAAAGTAGTTGCTCTGGGAGTCTGAGTGTTAATTCCAGCGATAATTCCACTGCTGAAATATCCTGAACTTTCATTTTGGAACTGCCTTCATGGTTAATTTATGAGAGACGCTTTTTAATCACAGCACATTCTGACTTAGCTGAATCCCCGATGTTATACACCAGACTTGGATGTGCATGACTTTTAAATGTGAAAAAAAAAAAAAAATTCAAAAGCTCCCTCTGAGCATAAAGATTTGCCACTGATGGAGAGATCTGAACGGCTTCCCAAGCAACAAAAGCCATTGCTGGAAATCATTCTCCTGAGATGACTACTTTGAAATCAGTAATTCTGGAATACTCATTGGGTGTAGTTTAGTCAAGTAAGCTTTTAGTCAACCTGGAAAGGTATGAGTTAATTCGCATATACCAAACGGATATTATTATTTTGCATAGAAAGCAGTCGGTCTGCTGTTAAGCCTTTTTGGAAATGCCACATCGAGTTTTTGTCCAAGAACTCTCTGCGAGTTCCTCTGTTGAGTGCCTTCCCCTATACGTTTGCTCACACCAGGCCACAGCTGTTTCAGGAATTAGGGAGGAGGTCCTGGCCGCCTCCGTGGGCTTTTGAATAAGAATTCCCTGTGGCAGCTGTCTGAGCAAAACAGGGACATGAGACAAGACTATTTTCTATGCATTATTCTCATCTCAGATGGGAGAGTTCCAATCCCAACTCTTCCACTGGCACCAAATACCTTTTTCCCTCATTTGCCTTCCAGACTTTGGACCATTTTTGAGTAAGACATGCTCTGTCTGCTCAATGAAAAGCATACTTAGCCCGTGCCCTCACAGAAACCAATCCCCAGCATCGCGAGGGCGAGGGTTGGCTTCGTGTTACCTGGGACGGGAGGAGACATGGCTGCCACCCAGTAGCCCAGCTGGGGGGCGATGTACGTCCACGTCAGCTGGCTGCCCTCCTGGTGCACCAGGCCCAGACCGCTCTTCAGCCACGTTCCTGTGAGATTCAGAAAAGAACTTCAGTGACACGCCGGCTAGACTCCTGTGCAAGGCTTAAGTACGCTGTTCAAACCACCTTAAATGCCAGGTCCGTAACCCACCAGATAGCCCATGTAGCCAGATGGTCAACCAGGGACTGTTCGTAGCTTTCTGCGGAAATTCAATTGCCCATCAGGGACAAGGTGAACAACTTTGGTTTTCCTTTGTCTTCTCAATTAAATTACTTCTAGCCACTTCATCAGACATTCAGACATTTCTTTTCCAATCACAGAAAATTTCAGTAGAAGTCTTTGGAGTTTCGGAATAGAATAAAGGCAGGGTGACAGGGGCTGGTGGATGTGAAAGAAAAAAGGAGGGGCGCGTGGTTGGATCCAGCACCGTTTACACTCTTTATCCTCTAGCAAACAAGTAAATTTCCTGTCCCGAATCACAGACCAGTGATGTCACAAGTGCTTAGGGATGCTTTTTAAATAGACAGACTCCTTGAACCCATCTTTGCAAATTCAGACCCAGTAAGTCTTCCAGTTGGTCCTGATGCTGGGAAACACCAAAAAAAGTCCGGTCTCTGCACTATCGCCAGTTGTAACCGCAACTAGAATCAAACGTGAACGAGTACCTGCTGCGTACTGGTCCCAGCATATGCGTTTTACATATTATCTGTAACTCTCAAAGCAGCCCTCCAGAGGGAGGCTTTTTTTCCTTTTTGGATGAGGACGTTGAGAACTGGCAAGCGAGTACATTTCCCAAGGCCTCTTGGTGGTAGAGAGCAGAGTGGGAATGGAAGCTAGGCCTGTCTGATCTCAGGATGGGTGCTTCCTTCTGCTGTGCCAGGTGGTGTTTCCTGCACACCCTCCAGCGTTCGACTACACTGCAGTCTAGGAGCAGACCCATGGAGGAAGGTTCACTTGCCCACGGCAGTCAGGCTGCTCCTCTCACTTATCTGCAGAGGATCCTGCTCTGAGGCCTGTGATGACGGCAGTTGTAGACAGACAGCAAGGGAGAGGTGGGTTCAGCCTTCTAGGGGCTTTTGCGCACCCAGTCAGACCCACGGGTTCAGAGCCCTTGGCTGTATATAAGGGCTTCTGGCTCCTATTATCACCCATGGAAGAAATAGCCATTGGTGGCACTCAAGGCTTACGTGGACCACACACGAACCAAATGTGACCCTTGGTCTCCAAATGCTTGCCCTTCCTAGGTACACATATCACTGAGTTGACAATTGGGGGATTTTTTTTTCTGCCCTTGAAGAAAAAAACAATATTCATGCTGCTGGTAGGCCCCACTGGTTGCCATGGCAACATTCAAATGCAGTGGGTGGGAAGGTGCCCAAGGTAGTGCCTCTCATGCAATGGCCCCTCCTCCGCTGCTCCAGCAGCAGCTACACAAAGGGGAAGGTGGGAGAAGCAGGCACCGGCAATGGCTTTGCACCTCCTGGCCTTCCCATGCAACACACCAGGTCACAGCGCTGATATCCATGCAAGGTAGGGAGACAAGTGAAAGGTCTCTAAAATGATTATGAGATTGGGGATGCACAATTCAGATTCATGTCCTGAGGTGCACCAACGCAGCGACTGCTCAGCAGGTGAGAGAGTCACTTAATTCTACAGGGCTACTGAGCAAACAGACAGAAGGCATCTGACACAGCAGGGAAGAGGGGTTCTGGGCTGGTGGAGGAGAACGGATCGTTTGCCGTGACTTCCATCCCTCTCCCCGACTGCGGTCCCCTCCCGTTCACAGCTCATGACTTGCATACCACATCCACCCCCACACGCACTCCCACAATAGCAGTGCTGTCAGGACTGTGCATCAGCCAGGAAGACGCCGTGCATTCTCTGGCTTGCAGTTCCCCCCAGATTAGAGTCTTGAGTCACTGCTCTTCAAATGGAGCGGGCACCAGGTTGGCCTAAACAGGACCCAGAGGATAAGGGCTCCAAGCAGAGTCCCAATTCCCATTCATTCATGAGAAAGTCACCCATTTTTATCCTTAAGTAGCCTTTGCCTTTTACGGAGTAAGAACATCAATTGAAACAATTTAAAAATACTGCCACACTACATCCAGGCAAGCGAAGTGGGGGGACACACATTCACCATCCCTCCCCCCCGACCCAGCTAACAAGCTCCTGAGGCCAGCCTGCAGGACCCACAGTCTGGCAGTGGTGCTGGTGGAAGCCAGAGAAGAAGAGGCAGCAGCCTGGGGAGTAGAGTGAGGAGACAGTACCAGGTGGGGGCAGGGAAGGCTTTGGGATGAGTTTAGCTTGGACAAACAAGCAAGACTGGCCAGTTGCGGGAGAGGCCAGGGAGGGAGCATGGAGAAAGAAGAGTGTGCTGTAGGCACAGGGAATGGAGGCCGGGAGGAGTGGGAGCGCTAGGATGGAGGGACACCCAGAATGAACAGGAGCGAGTGGGTACCGGGGCTGGCAAGGCGATCGGCGCCTACGGGGGAAAGGCTTCGAATGCCGTCAGCACTGGGAGGTCACGGGGGACTGTATGCAAAGGCCCAACAAGGCTGGTGCTTTCAGCCCACCTGCCCCTCCGCTGCCCCTCCTCCTCAGTGTTTGCTGGGCCACTGTTCACAAAACACGTTTGTGGCTCCAAGGGCAGATAGTTTTTTTCTCTTCCAGAAACCTACTGTCTCTCTGGACTTGAATGGCGCCTTCTAGTATGTATGAATCTTGCAGGTCTCAGCACCCCCAGGGCAAGTGTTATGGCATCACCACTTTCCCCAAAACACAGCTGCCTCACGGAGCTAACCTGTTGCTCTAACTCTTACCTCTTCCACTAGGTTGCAAGCTACTGTGAATGTGGGCAGGTGTCTTGTATTCCTTTTGCCTTCTTCTCAGCACCTACATGGACCCACAGATGGGTGACAGCTAGGGGCATAGACCAAAAGTAACACCAGGTGGCCCTCTGTGAGAAGCGGCATGTAGTCAGCAGGAACACTGACCCTGCGGCAGTGTGCTGGCTTTGGGATGCTGCTCTTCCAAACCACAGGGAACAAGGCCAGCTGGGGAAGAGCCCCTTGCTTTAGCCCACGATTTCTGTAAAATGCACGCCTACCCAGTGACTCAAGTGTGACACTGTTTTGGGATTCAACCATCGTGCCGTTACAGGCAAAGGCATTTCCAAGCTTTCTGTGTTTTGTAGGAGGAAATAAACTACAGGGATTCTAAGGATTAATGGATTGTGCACTAGCAGCATATATATGCTTCTCATTCTGGGAATCCTGATGATCCTGTGGGATCGGGCAGTTTCCCCACCTGAGCAGCAGACACTCACAAGAGACACTGCTGTGCCCGTGGCTGGGGCTCTGGGCTAGGACTCTTCAGTGTGATCCAGACAGCAGAGCAAACCTCTGTGAAGTGCTATCTGTGACTGCTGGCAAGATCCACCAGGGTGCTGACAGGGGCACTCTTGTCACGTGTGGTGACCTTGGGCATCGCTCAGATGGAACGGGGCAGGGACTGGGCTATTCCTGCTGTGTGGACGAAAGCAAGCTCCAGCTGCAAGGGCCTCTTGCTTGCTCTTCTCCAGCCGGCGCACCTACCATCTGGATGCTCCAGGGGCAGCACACACGCCCAGAGGTTGAACTTCTCTCTTCTGTGGCCCAGACCGAGTAGCCCCTTATGTGCTACCAGCTCCCTGCAAAGCTGCTTCCTCAGACCACCTCCTTCTGGAGTTCTCTTTCTGCCCCTCCTCATCTCCTCCCAGCTTCTTCCTATCACTTCCTTCGTGGCGCTCAAGGTCTAGACATGCAGAGCCCCCGGGGGGGCCCTGGTGAAGGTAGGCAGGCAGCAGCCTGTTCTTCCTCCTGCCCTGCTCCACTGGCCCTCGCCAGGCTTCTTCCTGCAAAAGCATCCCAGCTACAGCTGCACTGACCAGGCTGCCCATGAGTATCTCAGGAGTTGGCTGAGTCATGACATGCGCCTCTTTGCTCTGACCAAGGCAGGTGGCCGTGTCTATTACTGGGACTACATGTGTGTAATGATTATATGGTGATCTCTCTGGTAGCAGCAAGAATGAAATTTTGCATTATAGAAACTTCTAGATCATCAAATAGTTTTTAAAGCACTTGAACTCTCCTTAATTGAATTGCTAATTTTTAAAAATTTACTTAAAGAAAGGTAGACAGAGAGAGAGAGAGAGAGAGAGAGAGAGATCTCCATCTGCTGGTTCATGCCCCAAATGCTTACAACCGTCAGGGCTGGGCCAGACCAAATTCAGGGTCCAGGAATTCAATCCGGGTTTCCCATGTGAGTGGCAGGGACCTAACTACTTGAGCCATCACCTGCTGCCTTCCAGGGTCTGGGTTAGCAGGAAGCTGGAATCAGGAGTGGAGCCAGTACCTGAACTCAGGCCTCTAGTATGGTTTGCAGGAGTCCCAAGAGTGCTTTAACGGCCAGGCCACACTCCTGCCTCTTTAATGGAATTTAAGCAGAGCTAATGTATGAAACATAAAAGGGAGGTTTCTCTGTGTGAAGGTAAGAGAAGTCCTCACTCACAGAAAATCCCAGGACACGTCCTAAACATAGTCTGGAATCTGTCACAATTTGTAAAGGTGGTTCTATAAAAACACTAAAGAGCATCCCTTACTTTTGGTTCACAGAAGTGAACACAATTTTTACTTTTCTTGATGAGTTAAGGTCATGATTATGGTCAGGGACAGCAGGTGCCTACTGAGGACTATAAAATTGTTTGCTTTTCAGCTAAAGTGGTCTATCCACCCTCACATGTGTTTCCCTTTGCCTTCTCTCTCATAGCTTGCTGTCATCAGCATCCTGCTACCAGCTCAGCTCCTTATCACCACCAGCCTGGACAACTTCCCAGCTGTGGCAGCTTGCTACCGGGAAACAGGGAGTGCACCTTGAGGAAACTGTGCTTGGAAGGGCGCACACAGGCAGTGAGAGGAACAGAACAAAGCAGCAGCCTCTGCAATGTTCTGAATCCTGAATTCAGGATTTTTTTTGTCTGAATTATCCTCAGACTTAAGCCTTATACAAC